GATCGTTGTGCAATTTCAAAAGTGGATAAACCTCATCTACGGTCCTCAGGTTTTGTATCATTTGCATTTTCGTCATTAAACTTAATTCGCAGCATTTCAATATGGATTCCGAATTTAACATGTTCACATTTTAATCCATGTTTATTTATTTATTCATTTATTTATTTTTATTATTATCACTAATTTTCGTAATGTTTCTTTTTTATTATTCAATAGTTAACCTTTTTTTCCTTTTCATTCTTAATTTAATTTAATTATTTTTTTGTGCTATTTTATTTTATTCCTTATTTTTATTCTTATTTTTTTTCTTTGTTAGCTAGCCTTTTTTATTTTTATTTTTATTTTCCCTAAACGTTAACTTTTTCTGTTTTTCAACGTTAGCTTTTTCCTTTTTACTTGTTTTCAACCTTTTTGACATTCTTTTCACTTTTAAATAAAAAAATTTATTATTATTTTTATTTTCCCTAAACGTTAACCTTTTATTATTTTTTTCAACCTTTTGACCCTTTTTTTACTTTTGAATAAAAAATTCTTTTTTTTTCCTAAATGTTTTCCTTTCTCATTTTTATTTTTTTTCCTTTTTCTTTATTTGAAATTTTAACATTTTTTTACTTTTTTTCTTCTTTTTTTCTTTAACTTATTTTTTCTTTTGGTTCATTTTTTTACTACTATATTTTTTATTTTATGTTTTTGCCTTTTGTTTTTATTTATTTATTTTTCTATCTAACATCGTTTTCTGACTTTTCTGGTAGTAATCTCGATCGATTAAAGGTAAGTAATTCGAATTGAATTTTTAAATTTTAATTTTAATTTTTGCAAATTAAGACAATCGACAAATTAATTGGTACCGAAAGGGCGGTTCAAGAGTGTTAATCCTTCCTTGATCGTAACCGACTCCCGAACCCAATATATTTATGGTGAAACGCAGATCAGGTAAGATGGTGTCCAACCCACCTAAATTCGTTTTAAAATGGTCGGTGGCGACTCCCAATTCGTTTAATCCAAGTCGAAGCCCAATTTCGGGGCCCAACCGAAAGACGGTTCTGACATATTCTATTTAATTTTTTTACCAGAAATGTTAATTTCGCTACCTAATTTTCAGAAGAAAAAATAGCATTTTAGGTAGCGTACAATATTAACATTCCCGGTAGAAAAAAATAATGTTTTAGGTAGCGCTTTATCGAAAATGTTAAACATTTTAGGTAGCGCCCAATATTAACATTTCCGGTAAAAAAATGTTTTAGGTAGTGCTTTACCAGAAATGTTAAAAAATTATTAACATTTCTGATATCGTCTTTCTTTAGTCGTATATTAAGTCTGTCGTACCGAAGACATCCCCCCACATCAAGTTAGTCGTATTGTTTTTTAAATGAAAACATCTAATAATAGGAAAAAACTACAACGTTTGATGAGTATTGATTAAACACTACTAACGATGAGTATCATTAATTTAATTTATAAAACTTTAAAATTATAAAGTACTCAACTTGTAATTATAAATTAGATAAAAATTTAAATGTAATTTATTTAAAATAAAATATTAATTACATTATAATCTTATTTTAAATAATAATTAAATCAAATATTAATTGCGGCAATGATAACGGCGGCAACAACAACAACAACGATAGCGACAGTGACAATGGCGATAACGACGACGGTGATTTCAAAAAAAAAAAGAGTTTAGGGTTTTTAATTTAGGGTGTTAATATTTGATGTAATTTTCCTTTATGTTCTCAAATGACATGACTAGTATAAGGCCAGAACTTTCATTCGTTTTCAACATATAAATCTAAAGATTTGTCCCACACCCTGTAATTTTCAAACTATAATATGTCTGTTACATTCCTACATTGGAGCTTTCCCAATCAAAATCACAGCAGATGCCTCAATGAATCGAGTTGCATCATTTTATGAACACAGAGTTTCATTTACTACGCAGGCAATGAAGTCCAAGTTTGGTAGAAAATGTTCATACACTTTATAGCACACGCAAACCAGCCCAAAGCATCCAATCGTTGAAATTAAGTGGAGGCTCATAAATTTCTGGTTGGCCCATTAGTTTTGTACAAGACCACATGTTATCTGAATTTGGTCGTTTGAAGGAACTTGTGGGTTTTCTTTACACATATAACTCACAGTAACCGTAGACATGGAAGTTCAAGGTGGGTCTATGGTGACGAGAACAAGGGGGGAAATGATAACGCCTTCGCATCTATAGTTTTCGTTGAATTGATAGTCATCTAGATCTTTTATTTGTCTGATACTGCTGTATTGGAATAGGATTATGATCATCCGTTACTAGTTCCCCATGATATCCTAAGTTCTGTAATCATTTGCCGAGAAAATTGGCAAAGATGACGCCAGAACTATTAGCAAAAGAAATCTACATTGATTTCATTTAGAAACATATTTTGGGTCGTAGGAAGAAAATTCTTACCAATTATGTTTATGCTCGGACTTGGGCTAAACGATGGCTTTGAAGCTTAGCTATATTACGTTTTTTAATAGTGGATTGTTCTAACCGGAACTACTTTCCATTCCATTATTATTATCATCGTCATTATTGGTGTTGATTCATAGACATATTATGACGATGAAGAATTTTGATACGCAATACATACTACATTTAAGAGTAAAAATAATTTGTAATTATCAACTACTTAATGTTAAGTTAACCCGTAACATTAAACTTCTAAATATTTCACATCAAAATTGACGCCGGCAGTCATCTTTATTTATATTTAAAAATTCAAATATTTAATTTTTATTTAAGTTATAAAATGTCTCCTTTTAAACAAGTAACTTTAACTATTTTTTTTTCATTTCTAAAACATATTTAGAATTTTGGTGGGTCGTGATAATTGATTAAAATAAGTGTTGAATGTGACTCCTCATTTATCCAAAAAAAAAATTGTTGTTTTGACTATATTGTACTGATGAAAGAATTTCAATTAAAAAACGTTTTTATCTATTTTATATCCATCACTTGGGATTAATAGTCAACGAGTGTTGTTAGTACATCTGTACATGTGATTAAAATTCAAGAATTTAAGTTTGTAAGATCAAATTTAAATATTATTATTGTCATTTTTTGGGATTGGGATCGACATTGAAGTTGGGAAAAACAGATATAAATAATAAAACTTACGAAGAAAAATAATTAATATGCAGTCCGGAAAGCAAAGCAACCCATCCTCCATGCTCAAATACGGCATTGACCGATGACCATCAATTATCTCTAACATATGCAGAATAAAAATTCAAAGACATTTTATTCTCAGATTCAGACTAACCTGATAAGATGATGAAATTTAACAACGCAAACTCTTCTCTTCTGCACATATATAATTGATTTTTTTTACCATATACAATTGGAGTTCGAGATTCTATGCATAAAGGTTCAAGATTAGCAGTGTTTATGATATATAATTAAAAAGGAGAGAAAAGAACGTTTCTTGGCCGGAATGGGTTATGATATTTAAGTCCTCTACAGTATCATAATAAGTTTTAACTTGTAACATTAAAGTGTTGGACAAGGTAGCAAATGAAGGACTATCAAATTAATTACGCCACTCCACACGGAGAATGTGCATGCATCCACCATCGATTAACCATATTTTCATGCCATCCTTGCTTAATTTAATTAAGCTGATATTTGTCTATCTACTTAATACCATCATGCATGCACCTTAGACGGAGTGTTTAAGTGCCGCACACGTGTCCAGTACAGTCAAATTATTGTCCAATACATTAAAACAAAAATTATTTGCATGATTTTTTATTTTGTGATATGTTTTGAATAAATTTATGCATATCTTATAAATAATATTATCCGAATTTGAATCATCCAAAAAATATTTAATTGAAAGGGATTGGTTATGTTATAATATAATATAATATAATATAATTTATTATATTATCTTAATAATTTAATTTTGAAAAAAGATAACGGTGTGAGCTGTGACCATTTGGTATCGTTCTTAGCTATAAGTTTTCTGTGGGCGTTAACAAGTTCTAAATTTCTAACACTCGTTCTGGTTGGAAGATTGAAACAAAGGGAAAATGTATACATTGCTAACGTGTAATATATGGGCTGCAATACGAGGTGGTTGCATGTGAAATTTAAGCAAGAAAAGCAACATAGATCACCTATCAACTAACAGATAATGAAATGTTTATTTTGGATTTGCAACTTTCTTAAGGTTGATTTGACGACACAATCCCACAACCGTAATGTGGATGAAGTAAATAAATTCAATCCACAATTTCGTCCTACTATTTATCTTATTAATAAATCAAATCCAATTGTACCACGTGGTGGATTAGGCGGTTTTTACGCCATAATTTAATCATATAACACAGTAACCTTGAGTTTTTTTATGTGTAAATGGAATAATAATAATAAGCCTCAGGGGAAATTAAACTTATAGTTATTTTTCAAGCAAATATAACGGCATGCATCCACGTGAGGGATGAGAAATGTCAAAGATTCTAATATCATACATTTTGTTCACACCTTTTCTCTAATCCCAAGATCCGCCTCTCTTAACCCATTTCACACTCTAAATTCATCTCATAATTAATTAATTACGAGGTTATAATCTTGGTCCATCTAACGAATGGATGTTATAAAAAGGATATTTTTAATATATATGATATTAAAATTTTAAATATAAAATTAAATTAATAAAAAAAATATATCTAATTATAGAAAAAAAAAATTAAAATTAGTAAGAATATGGTAAGCTAGAAGCCATGTCAATTCAGCTGCGGATATGATCATCCGCCGTCTAATCTGGGGCCCTTTTTAAACAGCCTTGTAATCTTAATTCGGTCAACTAACCATGCTGTCAGTTTTCGACGTAATTGCATAGCTCAATACCTTGCTCACCTCTATTCTTTTCTCTATAAATACTGTGACCATTTCCATGTTCAAAACCTCCGGTCTCTGTGTTATTACAGATAGAAGGCAATTAAGAAACCACAGCTAAAGAAAGATGGGGAATTTTATTAGACGCGAAAGGTCATCTTGGGCTGATGACGAGCACTGGGGGTCTTTGGAGTCGACTCGGATGGATGGAGAGATTAACATTACGGACAACAACAACAACGAGTTGGTCGGCGGAAAACGAGATGCGAAAACCAGAGAGGTGAAGATAATTATTTCCAAGACGGAGCTGGAGCAATTGATGCAGAAGGTGGACACACGAGGTTTAACTCTGGAGCAACTACTCTTAGCCAGGATTGTCAAGAGTGGAGAAGACTTATTTTTGTTTGAGCAATCTCGTTCCTGGAAGCCGGTGCTACAAAGTATTCCGGAACTGAATGATCTATGAATTTCTTCGTCCTTTCCCTCCATTCTCTCTGGGTTTGATCATCTTGTAATGCCTTCAAACACGACAATTAGCCTGGAAATCGTTCGTCATTTAGTTAAGGTTATTGTACATATAGATTAGGCCATTTTCTACTGTTGATCATGTGTATATGGGGTGAATTCACGAGATAATGTTCTCGATTTTTTTTTTTCACGATATGGTGCACATCCCAGATTAATTGCTGGGATGAGGTGAATTCTACAGTGGTCTTGGAGGTCGCCATGGCATCCGGGCGACCTTGGAGGTCGCCATGGCATCCGGGCGACCTTGGAGGTCGCCATGGCATCCGGGCGACCTTGGAGGTCGCCATGGCATCCGGGCGACCTGTGTGTATTACAGAATAGGGCCATGCAATCAACATGGGACATGCAATCAACATGGGACGTGCATGGGGGAGGGGATGCATGCAATCAACATGGGACGTGGGAATGCATGGGGGAGGGGATGCATGGGGTGGGAATGCATGGGGAGGGATCAACATGGGATGTGGGAATGCATGGGGGAGGGGATGCATGGGACGTGGGAATGCATGGGGTGGGAATGCATGGGGGGGGATGGTGCATTGGACGTGGGAATGCATGGGGTGGGAATGCATGGGGAGGGGATGGTCACGGTGGTCGCCATGGAGTCTCGGCGACCAAGGTCCTGCTGCATGCATGCGTTGCATCATAGCTCATAGCTTGCATGCATGCGTTGCATCATAGCTCATAGCTCAGAGATTCCTGCACCCGTACCTGTATGTGTTGCATCTATAATTACGTTATTGCAGCGTTAATTTAGCTGTGAGCCTTTCAATGCTCAATAGTTAACGCTCAGTTGTTTTATATAAAGGATATGGGGTATAGGGTAGAAGCACAAGCAGAACCAGCACATATAAATTTTGCCGAGAGAAATAAAGGAAGAAGAAGAAAAGAAGATAAAGGCTCAAACATAGTTGAGGTAATTTTTTTATTGTTTAATTTAGTTTATTATATGAAATTATTAGTTTGTTAGTTTCGGGTGCAACTTAAAACTAAAATCTAGTTAATTAGTTTGTTAGTATAAATTATTAGTTTGTAAGTTTAAGTTATATTATATTAGTTTATTAGTTTAAGTTATATTATATTATATAAAAATTAGTTAATTAGTTTCTTAGTTTAAGTTATTAAATATAAAAATATTAATTAATTTGTTAGTGTCTTTAAACGTATATTAGGTTGTTCGTTGAAGTTGAAGTTATATTATAATAAAATTAATTAGTGCTTAATTAGTTTGTTATTTTAACTAAGTTATATTATAATAAAGAAATAGTTTATTACTTTAAGGTATATTATATATATTAGATTATATAAAATTAATTTGTGGGAGCTATTGTTGTTTAAATAAATATTTTGTTTACACATACATGACATTATTTTACAATATTTGGCCACGTACAGATTGATTCGAAGAAAGAAACAAGGCAGGAAAAGAAAGTAAAGGAAGAAGCATAAAGACGTGAGTAATTTATTATTTTTTGTTGTCCATTTTTTGTTGTTGTGTATGTGTAAATTAGTTAGTTAGTAAGTTTATATTAGATTTATATAAACTAATTTGTGCGAGATAATTTCCGTTTTAAAAAATATTGTGTTTAAAAATATTTAGTGTTGTTTAAAAAATATTTTGTTTAATTTACATTGTATGTGTATATTAGTAAGAAGTAAAATTAATTGAATGAAATAATCCGGACAACGCATTATCTCGCGAAATAATTATTTTGAGAACATTATCTCGACAGTTTTGCCTAACAAATTTGTTTGATATTTTTAAAAAAAAATATTATCAAACTAATCATTATTATTAGTAATAATTACTAAATGATTAGTATCAAATCTAAATCATTAAATATTTATAATAAATAATTATTAGTGATTATGACTAAATCATATTATTATTAAATCATTAAATATCAAATCATTAGATTAATAGTAATTATCAAATCATTATTAGGTTTATTAGTAAGCAATCAATCAAGTTAAATAATAACTTTTATTTGATCATTAATATAATAGTATATTATATTATATTTAATAATTTATGAAATTATCTTATCTAATTTTTTAATCTAAATTAATTTATTTTTTTATTTGTAGAGAAAATGAGCAACAACTTTTTCACGATTGTCCATTATAATGGACAGATTATGGAAAATGAGGTCGGAGTAGTTTTTCAGTCTGAAAAACCAATAAATATGATGTTCAAAAAAGACATCACATTTATAGAAATGAAGCATAAGATAGAAAGAAAAATTCGAGCTGCAGTGGATGGTTTGAGGTATAGGTTTATGATATGCTCTAACCCAGTCAGATATGCTGCAGTTCCACTTGAAGAAGATGATGATATTGGAACCATGGTTGGATTACATGAGTCAACCAATATAGCAGTTATTGAATTATTTGTTGATGTGCGTAACATATGTGATGTTCCTGGGTCATCAAGAGGTGTGGCTCAAAATCCATCTGAAATGGCTTTATATAGTCAGTTTGAGGAGCCGACATACAGGTTCCCGAACAGTTTTATGGCACTATTGGAAAGTGTAAATGAAGTCGGGGGGACATCTATAGCAGCAGAGTATGAGACGAGAAACATACCGGAATTGGTTGTTGATATTGACGCTGAAAATCGATGGGGAGAAATTCATGATGATTCAAGCGAAGATGAAGAAACTGAAGAACCCGTTTTGGGCGGCGAAGAAAATATTTTTGGTGGAGGTGCAATTGATGAAGTTCCGACACCGTATGAAGCTACTCCTCACATGTACGAGATAGATTATGATGCAATGAGGGCACCTGAATTCCCAGACATGCCACATTTACCTCCGTACCAAATGACTGAATCATTCGATAATTCTGGTGAATTTTCAGTTGGGGTGCAATTCAGAGGAAAAAATGAAGCTACGCTGGCTATTAAAGAGTACTGCATTAAATGCCATGTTGATGTCCATGTTGCAGAGTCCAACCAGAAAACCCTATACGCAAAGTGTGTAAAATATGGCCCAGAGTGCAAGTGGAAGATCAGAGTGTCGAAAAATCAAAGGCACGATGTTTGGGTCATCACGAGGTACAATGGTTCGCACACATGTTTGCGAAACTCCATCGAACAAGACCACCGATTATTGGACTCCGATGTAATATGTGAATACGTGAAGGCGATGGTTGAAAAGGATCCAAGGATATCTTGTTCAGTGTTAGCTGCATCTATTCGAAGCCAATTTGGATATCAAGTAAAATATGGCAAGGTGTGGAATGCGAAAATGAAGGCAATGAAGTTGACGTATGGAGATTGGGATACATCGTACAATGAGCTACCACATTTGCTACAAGCAATGAAGCGATTTATCCCAGGAACTATAGTGAAGTCTCAAACCATGCCCGCATATGACGAAGAAGGTCAACTTCTGCCAGGGAAGAAAATATTTCATAGACTATTTTGGGCATTCAAGGCATGTATTGAAGGATTTCCATTTTGCAAACATATGATCCAAGTAGATGGTACGTGGTTGTATGGTCAATATAGGCATGTACTTTTGATGGCAGTTGCTCAAGATGGTGAGCGAAATATCTTCCCAATTGCATTCGCCATTGTTGAGGGAGAGACAACAGAGGCTTGGGATTTCTTTCTGACCAATCTACGTCAATATGTCGTTCGTGAAGATGGAGTTTGCTTGATATCCGATAGAGGAACGGGTATTTTGGCGGCAATTGAACGACCAGGAAGTCGTTGGATACCTCCGTATGCATATCCGACATTTTGTATCCGTCATATTGGCAAGAATAGTATCCGTCATATCCGTCATATAGTTAATTTAAATAATAATTAAAAAATACAAATTATGCATACCTCCTTTTTGGCCTTAATGTCGATCTTCAACCTGAACTCTTTAATGTTGTTGTGCACCAACCCTGTGCCTTCAATTTTATGCCTCCATCTGTATATCAATCAAAACAAAAATAGAGACATTTTGTTCAATAATTTTAATCAAAATAAATATTTTTTAATTAATATTTTATATTAAAATAGAGGATTCATATTACCTTCCGGCAAGTGGAAAGTCAACCGCAGTCCGACTAATCGGTGTCAAAAACGGAAGTCTATGCCAAGCCCATGATTGTAGCAGCAATAGACATCCACCGATTTCTACTGTATTATTATCATTCACGACTAATGACGCCTTGCACATCTCACGATACAAGAACGCCAATATCGCTGAACCCCAGCTATATTGCCTACAATTCTCAAAATTTGTTAAAAAAAGAAGATACTGAGTGTGAACATAACTACCGGATTTATCAGGCATCAAAATTCCCCCAATCAATTGTAATATATACGCTCGTGTTGCATATATAATTTCGTGCTCCGTACTATTTGATTGAAGTTGAAATTCATTCTTCAACCATGACAACCTCACCCGCCACCCTTTACACTCTGGTGGTACGGGCGCTTTCCCAAGAAACAAGTTGCAAAGTTGTTCCACCTTATTAAACTCATGTGACATTACCACCGGCATCCCATTAGTTTGGACCCCGAGTTGCATTGCCACATCCTCCAAAGTTATCGTGCATTCGCCACACGGCAAATGAAACGTGTGCGTTTCTGGTCTCCAACGTTCAATCAACGCACTGATCAAACCTGGGACCAACTTGTAATCTCGCACAAATGTGATATACCAAAATCCAGCCTCTTGCAAATTTTCTTCTATTAGTGGGTGTGGCTTGGGCACTTTATGTAGTCGAAGACGAAGGACTCGCTGCTCGTCCTCCTACAATTAAATATTTCAAAAAATTATCACAATCATAAAATAATATTCAAATATTTATTAATTATAATTCATTAAACAAATATTTTATTCACCATTATTCCCAAATGACTTGAAATATGTTCATTGTCAAGCCTCAACAGTGGAATTTGGTCAGCCATTGGAATGAATCTGTAAAAAAAAATTA